AAAATTATCCCATATTTAATAGTTGAATTTAGACCAAATGAATTTAGTTTAAGTTGTAAACAGTTTGATATCGCTGAAGTAAGATCTCAGGTTTGAGTCATTGTGTATGCAAAAAATCTCCATTGATAGACTCACCCACCAAAATCAGGTGTGTGACTCGGGTCTGTCCAGATTAATCAGGCGAAACCTTGAAATGGAGGGAAAAAAATAGTTGAAATTTCGAAAGTTGTTGATTATTATATAGAAACGATGTCGGTGATTCTGTGTATTTGCTAGGGGTGTGCAAAATTACCCGACCCGGTTGACCCGACCCGCCGACCCGGATCTAAAAAAACCGGGTAATTATCTAAAAAAATTACCGGGCCAGGTCGGGACCGGGTCACAAAATCTAGTTTTTCCGGTTACCCGAGTACCCGGTTAGTTTTTATATATATATATATAATTATATAAAATATAATGAATTATTTATATTATGGATTATTATATTTTGTATTTTGAACTTTTAAATTTTATGTTCGGATATTAGAGTATGTAATTCGAAGTTTCGAACATTTAAATTTGTGTATATATTTTTTTAAATTAATAATTTAAAAATAAAAAATTAAAAACCGGGTATCGGATACCCGATTACCGGGTACCCGTAACATCCGGGTCGAGACACTGACCGAGAAATCGTCGACCCGGAAGTTTCGGGTACCCAGAAATCGGGTACCCGAATTTGCACACCCCTAGTATTTGCACAATAATTCTTCCCAATAATCATTTATATATAATTAATAGGATGTGAATTTGTTATTGGGGGGTAGACAATGAAATGTGAGTTAACGATGAGAAGTTCATTGCATTGCATGTGACACTCAACAGAGCTGATTTAATAATTAAGAAATACTATAGTTTTAGATACATTGTATTGCAAGCCATTAAGGTTGGTTTAGGGTTGTCTTTTGCTTCTCACCTACAGTCGCTTAAATTCATATGATTATAGTTAATAAATCAAACCATCATATATATATATATATATATATAAGAACGGAGGTAGGGTTTTTGTTAGGAGGACGAACTTGAAACTTTTAAAATTTTAAGGTGCGAGTTTGAACTTATAAAATTTTAAGGGGACGAAAATATATTCTCAATAGAAAATAAATAGAAAAAATATAAAATATATAATAATTTTAAAATTTCAGACCCCACTCGTTCACTCAGTCCATCCTTGTATATATATTAAATGTTATAAATATTCAAATATTTTAATTGAAATTTTTAAGTATAAGTATCATTTTAATTATGTTTATCAATTTAATTATTTGATCGAGTGTTTTATATCGATTAGGGTTTGAAATAAAATATATTTAAAAATACATATAGTGTATTTTAAATATAAATATGCATGCTAAATGAGCGATTGGATGGGTAAAGTACACAAATGGTCTTTTGATTATAAAATATTATTTTATTAAGTTCCTTAATTATTAAAAGTCAGAAAATGATCATTCGATTATAAAATGTTGCTTTGTTAAGTCTTTTGACTATTAAAAGTTACAAATTGGTCACCCCACTATTCATTATATTCTAAATTCATCATTTTCCATTAAAAATGACAATTGTCTAAGCTAGATGTTAACATAATGACTGAGATATGATAGTCATTTGAGATTCTGGGATTATGTTTTATCAAATCACAGTTAGTAGATTAACATTTAACTCAGAATATCATCATTTTTTTAGTGGAAAAGGACGAGTTTGGAACATATGAATAATCGGGTGGCCATTTTGTAACTTTTAATAATCAAATGACTCAACAAAGCAACACTCTATAGTCAGAGGACCATTTTGTATGAAGGACTTAATAAAATAATATCTTATAGTCGGGGGCATTTATGTCCTTTACCCAATTTAAATTTGATATGTTAAAAGTAGATGGGTTATTTCTTTAAGACATAAAGATCCAATTTATTCATGCAATATGGGAATAGTGCTTAAAATTTGATTAACAGACTTCAGATATGTTTCGTGTCAAATCTAATCAATATTTAATGTCTAAATTGATAAAATGGTCTAATTAAAATAATATTAATAGTTTGAGGATTCAATTAAAATATTTCAAAACTCGAGGACCAACATGGAATCAGTTATCACTGGGAAAACTATTGAACAATTAACTTCAATAAAAATATAAGAGAGTTGTTTATGCAGGTTAAACATCGATATTCCCTATATAAAATTTTATCTAAAATGAAATTTATAATAAAATTTTGTAACATGAAAAAAATAAATTCACAATCTAATTATACATGTTAAATACAAACCCTTTATGTACAATATTATAACCTCACAATGACACCCATTAATTAACATTATAGGCAGGAATCGACCGAATAGGATGGGTGGGAACAATCACTCCTTTGGGAATTTAAAATTATTATGTATTTTAATTTTTTTTATGTATTTTGTATTAAAATTTGTTTTTGTCCTCTGAAATTTTATAATTCAAATTCACTCCCTCTAAGTTGCGTCGTTAACATAAATTTTGCGTCTTTTTTCTGATTATAAGCACAAATCAAGCTACCTCAATGGTTAAAGGAATTGTTGTTATTATTAGAAGTCACAATAGGGTTGTAAATGAGATGAAACAGATCGTGAGTTTCTCGAGATCGACTAGGTCAAAGCTCGATAATATTTGACTTGAATGGACTTGACTTGAGCTCGAGCAGGACTCAAGTTCTTAACGAGCCGAAATGAGTTGATACTTGACTCAAAAAACTCGCGAGCAACTCAAAAACATAATATATTATTTTTTTAAAAAAAATAAATTATTAATAGTATTAACATTTGTTTTTGATTTTTTTTTATAAATAAAGTATAAGGTTTTCATGTATTTAAGGTCCAGATTCAAGTTTGAGTTTTGAGCTCCAATCAAGTTAATTTTTTCCTCATCTTGAGCTTTATCGAGCATTTATGAGCTTCAATTCATGATTTCGAGTTTGAGTCGAGTTTAAAAGTTTTAGGCTCGTGAGTTTTCGAGTCGAGCTCAGTAATACTCGAGCTCGACTCGGCTCGTTTATAACCCTAGGTCACAAGTTTCAGCGCTAGAGAGTGTAGGATATTTGAGCGTTCATTGTCAAACAATCGAAAGTCTTTAGAACATACGCTACCATTCGTAAGCACCCTAGATTAATCAAGAAAAACAATATAAATTGTTTATTCGACGCATCTATCTTAACATTGCTAAGATTTTGAAAACGCTAGGCACCAAAATAGGAATTTGATAAAGCTGAGCTACTTTTTGAGTAAAAGAAAGAAGGTGCAAAATCTTCAGGTGGGAATGGTCATATATATTCGTAAATTCCGTAGAAGGCTTCGATATCCTCCCATTTGCTGATGGACACACTTATTATTCTCACATGCTTAATCACCACCATACATCCAATTCTTACAAAACTTCTATAATTCACCTTTCTGTCCCTTTTTGAAGCTAGAATATCCCTAATTAATTAAATAACAATAATTTAATGACATCTTAATTCTTCATATACTTCGTAAAATTGAAAGTTTCACATTTGAACTTTACCTTTGTATAAATTATCGGTTTTTGTCAGTTTTAGCATCTATATTTAACGTTAAATTTTGAACGATGATACTAAAATGAAATAAAAACTAAACTGATAGTTTAGATATTAGACGAGTACTTTTAGTTTAATATAAAATATAATACACACTTCTATGTTATACTTGAAACTTTAATTCGATCCAGAAAATCACTAATATCATTATTGTCATTATTAATAATTAAAAAATAAAATGAACATTGAATGTATGTGCTAAAGAATTTTAATTTTCAACGATAGATTCGAGTGATGTATTATTTAGGTCCTTTTTGGTAATCAATGATTCTTAATGTTGGGAACAAAATGAATATGTGGTGTAGTGGGTACAATCAAGAGATCGAATTTGTTGAAAGAACATGTTGCTCATTCAAGGGGCATATGGCATATGCTGTTGCTACACTTCAACTTGGATCATTATTACCCTAAATATATATATAATATAGGTAAATAAAAATATTAACATCATTTCATAAATGATCACCCATAGAATGATAATATATATATGTATATATAAATTTTAAGTATTAGTTTTTTTTGGTAAAGTACACTCAACTATAAGATATTGTTTTATTAAGTTTTTCGACTTTTAAAAGTTATAAAATGGCCCTCTGAATATAAAGTATTACTTTGTTGAGTCATTCGACTATTAAAAGTTACAAAATGGTCGTCCGGTTATTCATTACGTTCCAAACTCTTCATTTTCTGTTAAAAATTGATGATATTTCGAGCTTAATGTTAATTTGATGATAGTGATATGATAAAATCTGATCCCTCAGTCTTCATATTAATGTCCAACTTAGATAACAACCATTTTTTAACGGAAAATGAGTTTGAAAATAATGAATGGTCGAATGATCATTTTATAACTTTTAATAGTCGAGGGACTTAATAAAGTAGTACCATATAGTCAAGGGACCCTTTGTGTACTTTACCCTATTTTTTTTTTGTTTTATTTAAAATTCTATGATTGTAGTTTGAGTTTCTCTATTATTATACAATCTTTCATTTTATTTTCTCATAATTTAATTTTTTTATTTCTATAGTACTGTTAGTAATTTCAAATTCAGAGTGAAAATACAGTTTTTATTTTCTTTTAAAAACAAATTTAAATATTATGTGATTGTGTAATAGATTAAAACTAAAAAAAACCCTCACGCAATCAGTTTATACTTAGTAATAATGATATAAAAATAAGAGGAACGAATTATGTTAAACGAAGTGAAATGGTTAAATTATAAAATTTAGTATGATAGAGGGACTAAAAATGAATTAAACTTATATTTATTCCCTCAAAGTTCTCCATCCTTCATGCATTTTCTCATCCTCCTCAGTCCTCTCTTTCAGTCTATATATATGGAGAAATCATAAATAAGAAACCCTAAGCTTGAGCTCTAAGCTCATCAGCCATGGAAGAAGAAACTTATTTTCCCGACACCGATCATCTGGACTTCAGCTTCACTTCCACCATTACTAACAAAAGCTCTCTTTCCTCTAGCGCTCGTTCCAGTTTCAGCTGCAAAGAATCTCCCACTAATGCTCCGACCCTTTACCGCCACATATGGGATCCTCGTTTTGCAGAAATTAAAGCAGCCGCCGCCCTTTCCGCCGACGGAAACCTCCAACTCAGCCACCTCAAGCTTATCCGCCATCTGGGTACGGGAAACCACGGCAGGGTCTTCCTCTGTCAGCTTAAAGACCACGGCGGCGGCGCTTTCGCTCTGAAAGTAATCGACAGGGATTCATTGAACGGAAAGAAAGTTTCCCACGCTGAAACGGAGGGGAAAATCTTAACCATGTTGAACCACCCGTTTCTCCCGACGCTGTACGCACGTATTGAAGCTTCTCACTATACTTGTTTCCTTATTGATTTTTGTCCCAACGGAGACCTTCATTCTCTTCTACGTAAACAGCCCGGGAACCGGTTCTCTTTGCCGGCGGTACGGTTTTTCGCGGCAGAGGTTTTGGTTGCTTTGGAGTATTTGCATGCCTTGGGGATCGTTTACAGGGATCTTAAACCCGAAAACGTATTGTTACGAGACGATGGCCATATAATGTTGTCGGATTTCGATTTGTCTTTAGTCGCTGACGTGTTCCCCACCGTTAATTTCTTCCGCCGCGGGAAACGGGATCGTTCTGTCGGTGGTGGTTGTTTTGGTTCCTCTGTTGGAGCGGCTGACGACGAAGAAGTTGTTTCCGAATTTGTCGCTGAGCCGGTGACGGCGTTTTCTCGTTCATGCGTCGGGACCCACGAGTATTTGGCACCGGAGGTTGTCTCCGGTGCAGGCCACGGTAACAGCGTTGACTGGTGGGCTTTCGGAGTGTTCATTCACGAGTTGTTGTACGGAACGACGCCGTTTAAGGGTGTTAATAACGATGTTACGCTTCGGAACATAGTTTCGAGTAGTAAACAAACGACATCGCTCCACGTGGCAGAAGCGGGAATTTCGGAGGCAAAGGATTTGATTGAGAAACTGCTGGTAAAGGACCCCAGCAAGAGGCTAGGATGCACCCTTGGTGCGCAGGATATTAAACGGCACCCCTTTTTTGATGGGGTCAAGTGGGCATTGATTAGGCAGTACAAGCCGCCGGAGATGGTGGGTGGGGTGGTGGCCAAAAGGGTGCACGTTGGCCGTGTGAAACGGCGGCGATGGTTTTGGAAAGGACTCGATAGTCTGATGATGAGAAGTTAAAATAAAAACATAGTAACTCTAATGAGTATGATTATGTTTATAATCGTAATAATATACCTAAGAAGGATGCTTAGGGTTTTGCTTGTAAAACTAAAGAGCAGATATTATAAGATTAGAATTTACTTCTACTTATTTTATTTTAATTACTTGAATTAGGTAAATATTCCGGAAATAATATCTATAATAGCATCATCTTTCAAAATGATATCCAAACAATATTATATATCAAAATAACATCTTTTTGATAAAGACGCGATGAACGTTTTTCAAAATATTTATTTTGTCATGCACATCTTTACCGACGTGATAGGTTTTTCGAACCATCTTTCCCACGCTAACGTCGTCTAAAACCAAAATTAAAATAATAAGAACAGTAGGTCACATAAAATTCGAAACAATCCATTGATTAGCAATCATAAGAATCCAACACAGATGATTAGCATCATCTAGGCAGAGTGCACCCTTCGGTTTTTTTGTTCTTAGTTGTTGCCTATGCAAGGCAACCGAAGGAATTCATATTCAACTGTGCATTGGAAAATAAATATGAATCTTAAAGCCCATTAGATTGCAGTCCTCCCAAGTGTTCCAATATTCCATGCTCTCTCCTTTTCCTTCTGTTCTGTTTCTGATGAGTTTCCTTGGTTCCTCCTTTTCTACCATTGCCAACCAGTACTCTTCCAGCCGTTCTCCCTCGACTTTAGCTGCATTGGTGACTTTAGCTGAACTTTCTTTTGAAGGCTACGTCTCAGTATGGTGCTCAGCTTCTTCCTATCGGTTTGGCAGCCCGCACAGGCCCAAAACCGGCCCTGAGTCTACGTATGGTTGGCACATCGAGGCTCTTCAGGTTCTCGTAGGTCGTTAAATAGTTAATGGCGTTAAAATAGACTGTTAGTTAGATGTAAAACGACGTTTTCTTGGTGAAAATTTTATTTTATTAAAATTGCATCATTTTTTACGTCGTTAATTATTTAACGTCAAGTGAACCAAATAGGAGAAAAATAAAATTCAATGGCCAAAAACCTCAATATATTAAGCGAACAAAATAGGAGAGAAAGAGTAAAGTTCAATGATGAAATTTGTAATTTATCCATTTTATTAAATAAAATGAAATAAAAACTTAATTAAAAGATATGAAAAGATGATATCATAACAATTATACATGAATATATAAATGTCAATTATAATATTATTCTATCAAATATTTTTTACTATTAATTCGAATTGGACTCAATCCAGACTTTATCTTTTAAAAAACTCGACCTAATTTTATTATTTTTAAACTAACCCAACCAGCCCAGCCCAAAGTATAGCCCTCTTCCTCTCCTTCTCTGACTCTCGTTTTTCGCTAACAAAGTTTCTTTTTACAGAGGAAACAGCCCCGCCAATTGCCGCCGAGCTTTCGAATTCCGGCTAACTAGACTAGAATTTTGATTTTTTTTAGAAAATAAAGAATATTTCCCAGTTCTTTTCCGAATGTTACGGTAACGCCTCCCATGCCGTCTTTCAGGTCCATAACTATTTTTTGTTGTTATTAGGATTTATAAATATCCAGCACCGCCGTTACGTGGTCAACGTTTAAGCCTCTGGGAACATTGAATTCTTTGATTCTCTTCAACGGAAGGTGATGAACTTTATAACAAGGAAATTCAAATGCAAGAGGATCGTCGTCTTCTCTCTACTCAGTGTCACCCAATCTGCTTCTCGATTCAGCACCGCCGCGGTTGCATCCGATGGCCCACAAATATTAGAGCCTTTTTCATCTGGCATCATTCAAGATAAGGACCTTCTTGTTAAGAGTTTGCATCCCTCGGGGACTGGGCTTCATGTCCTTGACCTCCTCGATGAAGGTTCTTTGGAACCCAATCCAACACTCTATCATGTCTTGCTCAAGAAATGCACATTTTTGAGAAAGCCCAAGCTCGGGAAAATCGTTCACGCCCACATTTTGAACTCCCCTTTCCGAGCTGATGCTATTATACTCAATACGCTGTTGAATATGTATGCAAAGTGTGGTTGTTTGGAAGATGCTCGTAGTTTGTTTGACGAAATGCCTGTTAGAAACATGGTTACCTGGACTACCTTGATCACTGCTTATTCTCAGCATGATCGTCCTTTCGATGCTATCCTTTTGTTTCCTCAAATGCTTTCCCTGGGTTTGTTTCCCAATGAGTTCACCTTGTCTAGCCTTTTGAAGGCTTCGGCTGCGCTTTCGGAAGTAACCCGAATCTACTTCCATGGTACTCAACTTCATGGGTTCAGTTTCAAGTGTGGTTTCCATTCCAATGTTTACGTTGGCAGCTCGCTCTTGGACATGTATGCTCGGTGTGGTTGCATGGATGAGTCCCATTTTCTCTTTGATGTGCTAACTACGAAGAACGAGGTCTCGTGGAATGCTTTGATCGCCGGTCACGCAAGGAAAGGCCAAGTTGATCATGCTCTTTGTCTCTTTTTGAAAATGCTTAGGCATGATTTTCAACCCACTCATTTCACCTTCTCCAGCATTTTTGGTGCATGTGCCTACACTGGGTCATTAGAACAGGGCAAATGGGTTCATGCCCATATGATCAAATCCGGTGGAGAGATCATTGCTTTTATGGGCAACACACTCCTTCACATGTATGCTAAATCTGGTAGCATCCAAGACGCTAAAATGATCTTTGACAGGTTGACAAAGCGTGATTTGGTGTCTTGGAACTCCATGCTCACTGCTTATGCCCAACATGGACTAGGCAAGGAAGCGTTGCAATTCTTTCAAGAGATACTGACAGTCGGACTCGCTCCAAACGATATAACGTTTCTTTGCCTTCTCACTGCTTGCAGTCGTGCTGGCCTTTTGGACGAAGGGAGATACTATTTCAAGCTGATGAGGAAATACAACATTGAACCAGGGATTTCACATTATGTTACCATTGTAGATCTTCTCGGTCGAGCCGGTCTTCTTGATGAAGCCAAGAGGTTCATAAATGAAATTCCGATCCAACCCACAGCTGCTGTTTGGGGAGCCTTGCTCGGTGCGTGTAGGATGCATAAGAACATGGAAATGGGCAGTTTCGCTGCTGAACGTGTTTTCGAGCTCGATCCTTCCGATTCGGGACCCCATGTCTTGCTCTCCAATATCTATGCTTCTGGTGATAGATGGAGAGATGCTGCTAAGGTGAGAAAACTGATGAAAGATAGTGGGGTAAAGAAGGAGCCTGCTTGCAGTTGGGTTGAAATTCAGAATACAGTCCATATGTTTGTGGCAAATGATGACTCCCACCTACAGATGGAAGCAATCCATAAGAAGTGGGAGGAAATTAGCACAAGAATCAAGGAGATCGGATATGTCCCCGACACGAGCCACGTTCTTTTCTACATGGATCATCAAGAGAGGGAAGTTAAGTTGCAGTACCATAGCGAGAAGCTCGCATTGGCATTTGCACTCCTCAACTCTCCTCCCGGATCCACAATTCGTATCAAGAAGAATATCAGAGTGTGCGGCGACTGCCACTCGGCATTTAAATTTGCATCCCGAGTTGTTAAAAGAGAAATCATCGTAAGAGATACCAATCGGTTCCATCATTTCTATGATGGGTCTTGTTCTTGCGGAGACTACTGGTAATGCCTGTGATGATTGAATTTATTGACATTCTATTCATGTAGCGTTTTCAAGATCAAAAGAGAAAAGTGTTGCTATATCCTCGGTATTCCGATCGGTACGATACTGATTATATCGACTATGACGCTAATGATACACAAAGAGAAAGGTAAAGGGTTTCCATTACAAACCGATATTGGCACATTTGTCTATACGTTTTCATTTATTTGATTTGAAGTGAAATACATAAACATTTATTATACATACTCTCCTATAAACTCTAACATCTAAAACTTCGCAGATCAATAATAATATGATAATAAGCGCAGCTCAAGCTTTTCCCCGGTAAGTGTGCAATGAAATTCATGTTTATGTACCAAAGAGTTAATTCCTTGTAGCTGCTCTTGAGGACACTATCTATTGGTCATAAACCCTCCCCTTCTAGAACTGGGCATCGGCTGATCTAAAAAATTTCCCGAAAAAAAAACGTGAGATTTACATCACATTGCCATCAAAACCAAAACAGATAAATAACACACACGCATATATATCTCACACAAAATGAAGAGAAGGCTTGGAGTGAATTTTACCATCCTCTTCATCGTCATCATTTTCATTCTGACTAGTGAAGAATGGGGTTAGGTAATTCTTATCTAATGCAGAGAATGATGATGTTCTGCAAGGTCAGATATGGTTTAAATTCAATAAAATGAAAGAAATCAGCTGATTAATCTATAAATGGAAGTTTTTTTTTACATAGCCAACAACCCAAGGGAGCAGTGGTTAAGGCCTCTTGTTGGCATTCCATAGACTTTCAAACTCTGTTAATCCATGCCCAAAAAAAATTCTATGTATTACCTTTTGTGAAACTCTTTCAATTTCATCTTAAATCTGTTTCCAGATGGTCCGTCTTCATTATAAGATGGAGCGACGTATCTATTGTTACCTTCAAAGCTCTGCAACAGAATTACCAGTTAGTACAACAGATGCTAAAATCACTCAACTTTACTCGCTAACCCAAATTTTATTTTGTATAAAGAAATTCACAACAAAACACAGCCACCATCATGATGGCAGCCGCAATTATCCTATTTTGACTTTTTAATTAATTCTCGTCAATTTGAATGGTTCAAATAACAAAAGTAAGCATTGGATAAATTCAACATTCAATGTTGAAAACAAAACCATTGGTAAAGTAAGCATATAAAAAACTTAAACTGTAAAGCTAAGAAAGATTGAAATTGTGAAGAAAAAAGGAGGTAAAAAGTTGAAGAATCACATATTCTAAACATCCACAAAGTTGATTTAGGCCTGAGCTCACTTGCATATTTAATAAAAAATTTAGAGACTATAGTTTTAGTGAAACTTACTTCCCCTAATTGACCATCGCGGCCATCTCCCACAACTTGAAGAGCTTCTAGCATTGTACCTGTTGAACCTCCAATTAACAAAACCTGTGACATTTCGGGAAATATTAACAGTTACTTAAAGGACAAGTATCAATTACGACAAGGCAAACTGTGGTGAATTTATAACTACTGCCCTCAGATCTAAGCAATAAGCACTGAATGGATAAGAAAATTTAGCACTTGCAAAATATAAATTTCGAAATTATTTTTCAATGTATTATGAACAATAGGTCGTGGACTTAAAAGTAAAGTTCTTCAACCATACCGTCAAAACAATGATGGCAGTGGTTGCAGTGAATATAATCTGACCATGTCCTTCTGGAAGATCATGAACAGATTGCAGAGCAAGGGCAAAAGCCATTGCTCCTCGAAGGCCTAATCAAGTTAATAATAATTTAGAAATTTGGGTAGGTATAGAAAATCAACTATGACTAATATAGGATTTTACTTACCACTATACCAGAGTGCTTTTTGGTGATTTAAAGGTATTTTCTGTTGCACAGGACGAAACAAATTGACCAGATATGCACAAGAAAAGACATTGGCTGCCCTAAAGATACAATTACATAACCGCATTAATTATTATTATACACGTGGTCTGTCAACAACATATAGTTTAAAAATTGAATGATCAATAAATCTCATTTACCTGGCAACTACAATAAATAACTGGCATGATCATGAAGAAAGTAAAGGAATAACAATGACACTGAAAACTCAAAGCAGCCACCAAACCTAGGTTCACAAAAATAATAATAATAATAATAATGATGGTGATGGGATACAACTGAGAAAGAGATAAATCCAACATGTGACCAGCTGTGCTTTTCCATTGCAATATCAAAACCCATGTAAATAAATCTGGAAAATTTGAAAGAATCAATTGTCAAAATCAGAAGCTATCACGTGCACAAAGTTGTCAGTTAACATTATATAAATATAACTCCCTTACGTAAATGTCTCAGCCAGTGATGAGATTAGGTGGAAAAAAGCAGATGCAAATCGCTGAGAATTTTCTGACAAATTTGAGTATGTGTAGTGCTTCATCACCTAAAACAAAAAAATTGTTCAACATGATGCATCAGCCTGCAACATATACTACTCAATCAGCAATAGAAGTTCACTTACAATTGCTGTAAACAATATTGACACAATACCAGAGAGGCCGATTCCTTCTGCAAGCATGTATCTAGAAAGGCAAAATATTTTCAGTATTAACTGCCCCATGAATCCATTAAATACAAAAGGTGGGAGGGGGAAGAACATAAAAGGTCATATAATTGCTTACGAGAAATAAGGAAAAAGAACAAAGAGACAGCACTCCAAGTTCTGAAGACTGAGGAAAGCATGATGAAAGATACCATGGTCAGTGATTAAAAAATAATAATGCTAAGAAGCTTCATAAAGAAACCAAAAGATGCAAATGCAATACTTACTTGTCAACATCTAATCCAGCATACTTAAAGAGGTTCTAGGAGTTAAGGGTTAAAGGTATACAAATAATAGCTTGTAATTTATAGCACCAAACGTGGAATATAAATATAAAGTTGATCAGCAAGGATATTAGAGCAGAAACAAATCCAACTCCAACACCTGCAGAGCAACAAGGAAAGTATCTTAGTGCTTGTGATTAAGAGGGCATACAAGTATGGAACGGATAGAACATCAATCAATAAGTTATTAAAAATAAAAGTATTAAGAGTAGATCTCCTATTTGTATAGTTCGGTTTCAAACAAAATTTAGAAAAAACAGACAAAAAGTTGGCAAAAAACAAATATTTACCATGTATTCACTTGAATGATGAAACATACAAAAACATGTTTCCTTTTATTCTTCCATTAAAAAGATTAATTCGCAAGTAGAATATAATGCAAGAGAGATAGACTCAGCAAGTCCAAAAGTTAAGCAAACCTGCAGACATAGAACCGACAAAGGTCTCAAGAAACCTGACAATCACCATAAAGAAGTTCTGTCCAGATGCATGATTTCTTACAAGGGATGTTGTCCTGCATAGAGAAACAAGACTTTCATTTAAACCGAACTAAACAATCAAATCAGAGGACAAGTGCAAGTACATCACATACCTGTACAAAGATATTGCCATCTACACATAGAACCATTCCACCCAGTAAATATTGTGCATGCACGCATAAGATGACAAATACAGAAAACAAGGGACCAACATGCAACAAAAACTTACAGCATCATTTAAGACGGATTCTCCAAAGACCAAAGCATAAAGGTTCACATCAGTGCCAAGTTCCTGCAATTAAGATCATCATACATGGATACAACGTCTAAACAGTAGAAGTGGGATTATTTGTCATGCTAAGATACTACTTCTATATAAATATAACCTTAGATATCTCTATGTCATTATAACTACAAACTGATATCTCGTTAAAACCTTGGATATTGTTGCTATATAAATATTAAAAAGAAAAAAAAACCTTGGTACTACTTTTATTTGTTATGTTGATTGCTTGGATACTACTGCAATTAAGATAATCAATTACAGAACAAGGGCCGTAGGGAATGAAAGTATATCTATGCCTTTTCTTTTTGAATGTAAAAGTCGATGAATTAGCAACTGAAAGAAAGGTTGTGATGCAGGAGCATCCAAGGTTAGTTTAATTAGAATTTTCCTCTCAATCAAGTTGTTTCACCACTATATTATTATTAGAATCCAGTTCCATATTTAAGTTTGGAAGCAAAAAAGAGAAAAAGCTTATCCAACAATATAGGCAATCTAGTACTCTTAATATTTGAAGAATTAAGTTTTCAATATTTTTGGAAGAATAAAATTCGTAATTATTCTTTAACAAGACAATTATTTAGATTTGGTGTTGCATTCACTAATATGCATAATTTACTTTGTTTTCTCTATTCATTTTTGCTTTTTACCAACTTTCTGGGAAGCAAATTCAAATGGCAGAAGAAGAAACCAAATTTGCAATCCTGAGTTAAATTCAGTAATATATTTTCTAAATAAAGATTACAGAAAAAAGTGGTATAATGATACTTCAAAATTGAAAATAGGTGTTCTGCTAGAAGCATGAAATAAGCACAGTTAAATAAGTGAATATTACTATTGTTTCTGATCATCCAAATTATTGCAAGATCTTCATAAATTTGCATATTCAGTGTTGAAAGAGGTGTACGACATGTATTCTAGTTTAATGTTTGTGTTTAACCTAACCCATCAATGATAGGTAACCAGGACGGCAGCACAAAAACCTGACCTGAAATATGGAAAGAACCGTAACAGGGTCGGTAGCTGATATGAGAGCACCAAACATTAGGCATTCAACGAACGGAAGTCCGTACATGAGGTACAAGCGACCACCAATATAGCTGCAAATATGTGGCGTGATTATAAGGTAGTGAAGGGGAATCCTGTGTAATGCGAAAATATCAATATCTTTATAATGAAAGATACTCACACTAAAACTCCTGTAACAACTGAAGCTATCAAAGTCCCTAGAATAGCAAATGTGACAATGGCTCCAAAGTTAGAGAAAAAGGGTTTCTGCAATAAGGCGGTAAAAAGAGGTGAGAATTAAGGGATATACTAACAATGTAAAATTATTAATAAGTGAAAGACAGTATATACTACTTACAGGTGATAAGCTGAACCCTGATTGAGTGGCCCAAACCGAAAG